ACCTAGTATGGTATGCACTTTAATTCTTAATATAGTACTTTAATTCTTTAATATTTTGGAATTGAGAAACGCCAAACTCTTTCTCACTCACTCTTGAACAGAGGTTCCGACACATTCACACTAGAAGAAATTACAGTACAGTATTGTCTAAAAACTACGTATGTAAGGTAGTTTGAAAAGTCATAATTATATGCCCAGTCACTTAAAAATATAAGAGTACATGTACTATATTTTTGTGTTAAAATTAATATTTTTATTAGTTAATATGCTCCGGGTAGGGTCACACTGGGTTATTCTGGCGGGTTCACGCTGCTCCAAAATTATCGAATATCACCCTTCATAAAAAGAAATAATTTTTGGGAATTCGCATTGCTTTTAAATTTAGTTCATCTACCGTGTCATCCTATCATCCATGATAGAGTTTGCCCTGTTAAGGGAGCCCCTCTCTTTAGCTGTATTGTGAAATCAGAGCAAAAATCATTTAAAATACACAAGTTTTGACTCTGGAAGAACACATACAGATGTCTGATCTTTCAGTTTGTCTAACTGTAAACAACAAGCTTACAAGTCATTCCTTATTAGCCTACAACACACAGAGGAAACTTTAGACAGTGTTTCTGTTCATTCTGAACCACAATCAAGTTACAACATTAGTCCATGTCAGACAAACTTTTGAAAAACTTTCCTCTCCAAACTGAGTTAATAAGTGAACTACTCCAGCCTCAATATTTTGACTTTTATTATTCTTTACTACATTATTATTTTCACCTTCATGGGGAAGTGCTATATACAGCACCTGGGATACGGGAGGTAACCAGGTTTAATCCAAGGAAGGGTAGCCCTAATTCCTTGAATCAATGCCCTTCATCAGAATCAAGGAAGTTTTTTCCTCATTGAGGGGTCTTCTGCACTTGTTGTGTTGATGCTGTGCTACAATGAAGATTACAGGATGCTATCTTTACTAACTGTTATTACTTGTTTTTTTTTTAAAACACCACCCCATTGTGCATGGAGTAATAACCTTAACATTACCCAACATCTGCTTCATGCTATATTATTTCACAGTGAACTGCATGGTAAATTAACTAATAATATTGGATGTCTTTACTTGTGCATGATGCAGTGTGTCCTGATTGGATTCACTAAAATAAAAGGAACGACAATTGTACAGTTTGGGTCTTCATACGTGATGTATGATCACCAGAGCATAGTAGAAGGGACTACCATAAAATATCCAATTATGTTGGAAAATAGTTCAGAGAACCAGCAAGTTGATAAATTAGACACATGATGTGCAACGCTTGGGTATCTTTATTGTTGAAATATTTTGCCGCACAGTCCAATACAAAGAAGAATAGTCGAAGAACAGAAGTAGTTTTGAGGCAATCAGTCCCTCAGCCTGGAGTTGACTCCTGGAGTCAACTCCTGGAGTCACAATAAAGATACTCAGGTATTGCATGTGTCTAATTTATCATATCCAAGTATGTTGGTGAATCAGAAATATAGCAATAACAGATTGCAGTATAAAGTCTAAAAACTTGAGTGTTTTGTCCTATAAGATCTATCAGCACTCTCGGCAAACAAAAAGTAAATACAAATCTAGACAAGAATGCCCAAGATAAAACTATGTAACAAAATTAATACTAGCATGAACACACAACACAAATATGAACAATAATGATAAACTAAAATAACTTCTTTCAATCGATAAACTAAAGACCGAAGACTCTTTGATTACATATTGAGGGGATAAAATAAGAAGACCAGATGATACAAACAAATGAAATATGAAATATACAAACAAATGAAATATTTGTGAACAGGCAGTGCACAAGAAAGATGAAGAAATGTGTGGACAGCCTTCATCAAACAGTAGATCAATTTAGAACGAGGGTAAATTTACTTGAAATGAAAATTAAGAACAACAAATTTCCTTTTGGGATTCTGATAATAAATCTATCACTTGACACATCAAGGGGTTCAGTTATTTTTTAATGTATAGAAAGAGACTGTAATGATTAAGCAGCAGATCAATGGATGGTAGCTGGAGCTACTCTTAATCTTGGTAGCTCCAGTAGATAGTGGTTACAGGGCTGATAATTTTCAAGAGAGGTGCCTTGAAGCTCAAGCGTTCTTTATCCTAATAACTGGAGCTCTCCTTTCCTTCCTTGCATTGAACCTGGTTTTCTTCCGTTCCCCAGGCAGTGTGTAACCCCCTACCAGTTTTGTGCCTTGCCTGATTATTTTTATAATAAATAATAATAATAATAATAATAATAATAAGTACAATGCCTGCACTTTAAAGGAGGGGTTTGGGATATTGGCAGTTTGGAGGGATATGTTGTGTATCTTTATATGTGTATGCTTCTAAACTGTTGTATTCTGAGCACCTCTGCAAAAACAGTGATAATGTGTGAGTGTGGTGAAAGTGTTGAATGATGATGAAAGTATTTTCTTTTTGGGGATTTTCTTTCTTTTTTGGGTCACCCTGCCTTGGTGGGAGACGGCCGACTTGTTGAAAAAAAAAAAAAAAAAATTGTTTTTCTTTTTGGGCCACCTTGCCTCGATGGGATACAGTCAGTTGGTTGAAAGTAATAGTAATAATAATAATAATAATAATTAATAATTAATAATAATTAATAATAATATAATAATAATAATAATAATAATAATAATAATAATAATAATAATAATAATAATCATAATCATAATAATAATACTGCAGGGCTAATAAAAGTCCATGTGTCACAGACTATTATCTTTTTAAGGAGTCTCCACAAGATGTTACGCAGTCACATGTGCAACAGCAGCAGTAGTGACTAAGCTAGAGGTCAATGATCCCAAATTCAAATCTTGCGCATCACCTAGTTATCAGCCCATCTTATACCCAGCCACTGTGAAACAAGATGATAAGTTTATCAGAGGTCTGCCATGCATCCAAAATTGAGATAGTCGTACATTTACCTCTAGTTGACTGTCATTGAATGTTGCCTTCATCTACACTCCACTGTTACCCCAGCTGGTACCCCCATACCCCAGATAATAATAATAATAATAATAATAATAATAATAATAATAATAATAATAATCACAATAATAATCTTCATTTCTACAAGTACAACCTATACAGGCCTAGCTGACATCAATGACATATAGAAGGCCCCTGGTTATGCAGAACATTTCGGGCAAATTAGGATAATTTTGTTCCCCGTGATGCAACCCACACCAGTCAACTAACACCCAGGTACCTAATTTACTCCAAAACTCTTTTACCACACTTCTCATTCCTCACAAACCCACAGACACAAGTGAAAGTGTAAGTCAGGAGCCAAATACTGCATCTAGACCACAGCTACTTTAAGTCAGTGTTTCTCAATGAGCATTCTCACTCTCACAAATACTCTTACCATAATTGATGAATTATACACATGTGCAATATCTGGGTATCTTCATTTAAGAGACTTTTCAACCTATCAGTATTACTGTATATAGCATTGCTCTAATTATCTCATAGTTGTGGTCAAGCACTCACTCATCCATCAACTCTCTACTTGGTTTCAAAACACATAGTGCCACTGCTGCTTCATTCACTACACCTTCCACTACCTGCCTCGCATCAACCACCACCACCACAATTACACTTTCTCTGCAATGACAAGGATTTCTATCATTGTCAATTTGCTTACCTTCCAAACACACACACACACAACTGCTATTCTCTATTTTATATTCATTTTTCTATCTTCCCTTAAATTTTATATAGTATATGTTGTCTAGATCTAATTTAGTTTCTACTCTTTACTCATACAGCATGTCACATTCAAGCAATTTCTCTACAGTATCTTATTGACCTGATTCATTTTGATTCCTCCTTTCTCTTCTCTCTTCAAATTACTAATGTTTGCTGTCAATTTCAACCTTCAAAATTTTCCTCTAAAACTTACTATTTATAATCAAGTTTTTGTTTACATAATTATCTTTAACTCACCATTGGCTCACATTCCTTCTAATCATTATTTGTGAACCATCTCTGTTTTCTAATTTCTTATTTTAAATTTCTTCCCTTATTCCTTTCCCCTCCTTTCAAACCCATATTGATCTGTGCTTGCATGTCTCAATAACCCTTCACTTTGGTTCCAACCTTACTGACACCACCCTCAACTGGGAGTTTTGAGCTCGAGTCCCATGGGTTCTTAGCCAGGCATTCAAGCCATGGCATCACTATACCTTACACCTGATCTCAGCAAAGCTGAACATAATTAAACACAAGTATTACCCATTGAGTAGAAACTTAACCCATTCGGGTCGAAAGCAAGCCCAATAATGTGAAAATTAATCTCAGACAGGCAGAAATAATGTTTTCAGGATATCTGAAATTGATTACAGCATATAGTATAACATATTTTCTAATCCAGCAAGACAAAATTTAGTGCAAATAATATATTTTGTGATGGGATTCAGGGAAACCGGTTAGCCAGACCTGAGTCCTGGAATGGGAAGTACAATGCTCACACTTTAAAGGAGGGGTTTAGGATATTGGCTGTTTGGAGTGACATCTAAACTGTCATATCTAAGCACCTCTACAAAGACAGTGATTAAGTGTGAATGATGGTGGTGAAAGTGTTGAATGATGGTGAAAGCATTTCTTTCTTTTTTGGGTCACCCTGCCTCGGTGTGAGACGGCTTGACATGTTAAAAAAAAATTATTAATGCATGATTCCTTTATTTCCCAGCATGACTGACTTGGGAGAGGAGAGAAGATCCTTCAGATGACTTTGACTATTTTTAGAAAATTAGAAAGAAAACTTGTGGCAATCAAGTTTATGTTTGTCATTTCATATATGGCATGCTTATAACTCAAGTTGCAAGTTTCGTCAGAATTAAACAGATACAGTACATAATTTAATTAAGTGAACACTGAAAATATGAACATGTATCTCACTCGTAAAACAAGACGTTAAAAAAGTGTGCGGTAACTCTGCAATCAAGACAATACTCACTGTAACTGGAACGCGGGTCGACAACACCACATTACTCCTGCGGACACATGCACCAAATTAACTCTAACATGCTGACGCTAATCAACTAATTGTAAGCTGCCAAGTTTAGCAAAAGTATTACTTGGTATTTAGACTTTACAACTGAAAAGCCCTACAGTTAATTATCCTCATAATTTTAATTTTATTAATACGTACTATTATGCTAGGCAGAAATAGTGTAATTTAATACAGCGTTTCACTCAAACCTTAAACAGAGTGAACTAAGAACTGTCACAAGAATTACTTTTTTATAAGAATTAAGAAAAATATACCTATACTGTATAAGATTTTATAAGATTTAAGAAGATACCAGTACTATGTAAGATTTAAGAAAAATATACATGTGCAGTATTTCCTCATTTATTTCACATATAACAACACTGAGGAATGTAAGAAAATACTTACAACCTAAATATATTTACCAAACAAAATTACTTAAAAGCATAAAGTTCAAATATTAATAAGAAATCCAGATGGTGCTACAACAAGCTAACTCAAGAAACATTAAAGCTGATGCAGTGAAAGTGAACTCCTTAATGTATTAATCTTTGTTAGCATCTATGTGTAGTACATGTACCATATTTAAAATAACAGCACCTGAACAGCAAAAATTGTTCAGGTAGAGATGGTATCTGCAAGAGAGCACTGAGTGTGATGCACACAATCTGACTGGCATTCAACTTGAGCCACACAAGATTCTTAAGATGAATGTCATTTGATTTTACATTTTCTAGCCACTACTGCACTACTTATGCTAAAACCCTAGCATCATAATGTTCTTTACACTAAGGCATTAACACCCTAATATTGTCACAACCTAGATACTACCACACCACAGTACATACTAATGCTGCTGTCCTAGCACCCCTAGTAATGTCAAAGCAACTATGGTAGGCATTATTAAAGCCAGAACCTACAGTGGTTTAAAAATGTTGATCCTGACAAACTAAATGTATGTTAAAACTGTATGTTAAAACAAACTTTTCACACTTTAACCTTTAAATTTATAATGTTGCTTATCAAACATCATAATGCAACAGAAAACACTCAAACTCATACCTAGGTATCCCAATGACCATAACTGATTTAGACAATTCACATCAAAATAAATACTACATGATACACTGTACTACAAGCTTCACTGACTTTAATCCACTGCCTGATAGACTTTCCTGCCAAATTTTGCTAGAAGACCACATAGATCATTAATACATATATGCTAAGAACACTGATGGGGGCCCAATACTGATCCTTGTGGTACTCAGTGGTTACATTCCCAGCCTGATACTTCATCCTTTATGGTATATGTATCTCTGTTTTCTATTGTTCTAGTCCCGTATCCATGGTAATACAGTACATGCTAATACCTTTGATTCTCTAATCTGTTAAGTAGCCTCTTATGATGCATGTAGTTTGAAACTTTTTTTTTTTTTTTAGTCTAGGCATAAGCACTCCACTCATTACTGTTGCTCCTGACTGACCTAGGTTTCTCTCGGTTTCTCTCTCATACATCACTATATGGTTTATGATGAATGACCAATCGTTTCTATAGCCATGTTAATGCTCTGAAGAAATGATCGATTTCTAGATGCTCAACAAGTCGTATCCTTATAATCACTTCCATCAATTTACATGCTCCTCTCATTAGGGACAATGGTCTGTAGTTAAGGGATTTCTACCCATCTTTAATGTTACCAGTGTATGTGCATGCATGTGTGACTGCATGTGGATGTGAGCATATCATTGTGTGCTTTTGTGCGTACAACGTACAGTAACAAACAACCAATAACATATAAAAAAAAAGGTTTTATAGTTAACATGCATATTTACATATGGTAGAATCAGACTTCATTCATAATGTTAACCCAGGAGGGTTAATAACCCAGAATAACTTAAGACAGCTAATTCCACTGGGGTCTTATTTTTAGGTCCTTTTCCAGGATGCATCCCATAATAGCCAACTCACAGACATTTATTTACTCCTAAGTAACAAGGTATATGTGAATGTACTGTACACAAGAATATGTATGTACATATGTATGTACTGTACTATACATATATACTGTATATAGAGTAGTGCATACACATGTATGATATACATATACATTATATGTGCAATCTATGTGTTACTGAATTTAAGGGTTGCATGATTGTGCACGAAAGCCATTTCATGTCAGTCTCTCATCATGATGCATGCCACCCATGAATAATTCAAGGTCAGGGGAAAATATTGATCCATTTATCTATAATCAACATTTCTGGCTACTAAGCACTAAATGCACTTCACAAAACATACAACTAAATGGGGGCTAAGATGTTCAAGTTGAAATACTGAAACTTTCAAAGCTATTTCTAGCTAATGAACCCACAGAGGAATGCTTGACTTTATCATAATAGCACTACTGAAATTTCCCAGTTAATTAAAGCTGACAGATTTCATGTGTATGAAACCCATCCCGAGTGATCAAGTATGACAGGAGAAACAAGGGTACTTTTCAGTTTTCACCCTGTAACTTTATATAAAAGGGTAGCTGCACACTGATGATTTACTTAATTGTGAGGGAGACAGTGATAAAGACAGCAATTCTGAGTAACCATCAGCAATTATAGGACGTCCAGTGGGGGAGGGTACAGGATAGACAGAATCACATCTTTCTACCAACCAACTACTAATGGAACCCCCAGTTAATTGGTCTTACCTGTGTATTTAAGACATGAGCAGTAAACTACATTAGAATAGGATTCAAAAATAACTCTTATCTACTACCATTCACTATACTTTAAACAAAGAATACAATTAAAACCAATTTAATAAAAAAATTATGGCGCTGTCCAATTTTGTCACAAACACTAGTGTTCTAAAAAGAAAGTCTTACATTCATCAGAAAAGACTTTTAATTATCTAATTCAACCCAAACATTCATGTCTTCTCTCACATCTACATCAACTCGAAAAATGTACCAGTCAAGTTTATTGATTTTTCAGAGAAATATAGTATATTTTGCAGCATTTATAGACTATACATCTCTAGCCTAATAACAAAACATAAGAATTACATAAACTTGGTACTATAGTCACAGGGAAGAACTAAGCCTGTAGGAGTCAACAGTCCCGAGGAAATGGGAGATAATTATCAGGTATGATCCAAGGAAGTAGAGGGTAGTTCCAGTTCCTTGGATCGTGAGCCCTTTGCCAGCATCAAGGCACCCTTTTGAAGAAGAACTTAGATAAAGAGAACAAATCTCGGACACTAAATACCTATAAGTATCTCCACGCTGACAAATGCTTCTCCAATCTTCTCCGATACACCTTATACAGTATTTTACTGTTGGTATTCTGTTCAAAATAAAAAAATTCAGTGGGGGTCACTGTTACTCCATGATCCTGTACAAACACCCGTGTGAGCGTGACTCAAACTGTTACACCATGATGCTATATAAACTCTTAGTGTGGCTCAAACTATATACAAGAGGACGACCATATCCGCGGGTCCGGTTTCCGCTGTTTCAGTTATCTGCAGTTTACAGTGGAATGAAAATAACCCTTAATTTTGCTTAGTAATGGCCCCAAAGTGCAAAAGCAGTGATGGTAACAGTTCTTCAAAATGAAATCCTTCCCATCAGTGAAACAGTGCTAATTCTTGATTTACTGCGCATAATTTATCAATAACTTTATCTCAGGTATGAATGTAAACGAAAAACGGCTTAACCACAGGGTTTACTACTATCAGTGGTAGGTCTTGGAAAGTATTCCCTGCAGATATGGGAGTCCTAATGTATATATCTTTTACACTATCTATTACACCATGATTCAATACAAACAATGGTGTGAGCATGGCTCACGTCATTACACCTTAATGCTTTACAAACTCTAGTGTGATTCACACTGCTAATATCTCTCACTCCATCATCATATACAAATACTACTGTAATGAGTATCACCTCTAAATAAATTAAAATAATCACAAAGCAAGCTAATTCCAAAGGAAAAAAAACAAACTTTAAGTACCTTCCTTCATAAATTACAACTCTTAAGCAAAAAAATATTGTTTAATATGCTCCACGAGCACCTACCTTATTCACTCATGTCGCAAGGACACAAGTTTCGGTAGCAGATCTACTTCCTGTTCAGCTTTGACTCTGAAAAATAAACTACATAAGAATGTGTAACTTGTACAGGTACATCGATTTTCCGGACACTGATGGTCCAGAAACTCTTATAATCCATACAGATTTACGAGCAGGAACTCGAAATTCCCATGGCAGTGGTTTTACCACCTAACTGTACATCACTTATCTAACTCCAAGACCAAGGAATACTGCACTCTCTAAAGGCGAAAAACTCAGTAACCCGGAAAGGCTCTGGAACCAAAAGGTTTGGAACATCAATGCTTTACCTGTATTGCAAAGAAAGTGAAACAGATCCAGAAATGTTCTAAAGGATAGCGGGAGTCAAAATCAGTTAAATGGGTGGGGTTTTTGTTTAAAATGCTATAGTATTTTGACAGTCTTTTGCTTTTGTTGTCACAAAGCAGCTTTTATTTTAATAACTTTTTTTTAGGACACTATCAGACATTCCAGGAAAGCACATTTATTACCCTCCTTCCCTTCCCCAAGATTCACCATTGAAAGGAAATTACTGAAAGGTACATTTACATTGTTTTAATATTCTATTCAACCCAATTAAATACCACAACATTGTACAGTGGAACCCCGGTTTACGATCACCTCCCAATACGACCAATTATGAAAGTGTATTTATGTAGGTTCGTTTGTACGTGTATGTTTGGGGGTCTGAAATCGACTAATCTAATTCACAATATTCCTTATGGGAACAAATTCGTTGAGTACTGGTACCTGAACATACTTATGGAATGAAATAATATCGTAAACCGGGGGTCCACTGTACAGTGGACCCCCGGTTAACGACATTTTTTCACTCCAGAAGTATGTTCAGGTGCCAGTACTGACCGAATTTGTTCCCATAAGGAATATTGTGAAGTAGATTAGTCCATTTCAGACCCCCAAACATACACTTACAAACGCACTTACATAAATACACTTACATAATTGGCCGCATTTGGAGGTGATCGTTATGCGGGCAAACGCACTTACATAAATACACTTACATAATTGGCCGCATTCGGAGGTGATTGTTATGCGGGGGTCCACTGTACTTCATGAAATGGTTAACTAAACTAAATACTATATACAGTACTGCATCATGGTTCACTCTTTGCTGAAATGATAAATTCATCAGAAAATACTTCTAGTGGATCTTAGCGAAGTATATTGTATCAAATTACCTTTCCCAAAAATACACTGTATACAGTACGTATCTTTTAACTGAACACTTATCAAGGCTAAGGGACTGAACACTTATCAAGGCTAAGGGACTGAACACTTATGAAGGCTGAAGGGACTGACTACATACTTATCAAGGCTAAAGGACTGAACACTTATCAAGGCTGAAGGACTGAATACCTCAAAATTACCCCTCCACTTCTTCCAATGTCTCCTATACACTGTATTTATTCACCATACTCGCTTGAAAAAGTTGTTGTTTGGTGAAACATCTCATCAATAACAAAGGTACCAAGGTGTTGCACATTTGTCTTTTTCACCCACCTACTGTCCCTATTCATTCTGCAAAAAAATATACACCTAGGAGTTTGTCTACTGTTGTGGACCACATCCTGAGGAAAGTGGCCCAGGACCTCAACAAAAATATGCCATTAAGACACATGTGCAACATCTGGGTATCTTTATTGTAGACGTTTCGCCATCCAGCGGCTTTATCAATACAAATTCCAGGACATAACTTGAAGACAGTAGAACTATGTACAGATGAGGTAATCAGTCCCTCAACCTAGGAGTAGGTGCAAAGAGCACCGTAGTCGTGCTTTTCGCACCTACTCCAAGGTTGAGGGACTGACTACCTCATCTTCTGTACATAGTTCTACTGTCTTCAAGTTATGTCCTGGAATTTGTATTGATAAAGCCACTGGATGGCGAAACGTCTACAATAAAAATACCCAGATGTTGCACATGTGTCTTAATTTCATCTTGTCAGTATTGTATACCATTCTTACACAAAAATATGCCACATTGACTTAATAATAATAATAATAATATTAATAATAACATCTTTATTTACAAGTACATGTACAAGGTATACAGGCCTAGCTGACATCAATGACATACTACTATATAGAAAGCAGCTTGTTATGCAGAGTATTTCCCATAAGTTAGGTCAGTTTTGTCCCAGGATGCGACCCACACCAGTCGATTAACACCCAGGTACCCATCTTACTGATGGGTGAACACAGACAACCGGTGTAAGGAAACAAGTCCAATGTTTCCACCCCTTCACCGGGAATCAAACCCAAACCCTCACCATGTGAAGCGAGAGCTTTTACCACCAAACCATAGGGCACTGCAAAACTTTCTTGAGTTATCCTAGGTTAATAATCTGGTCATATAGTGTTACTACAGTAAGAAAAGTATAGTGATCCTTGAGTGCAAAATGCCTAAAAAGAGGATCTGGATTATTAACCCAGAGGGCATTCTGAACCTTTTCTCCAGGATGAGGCACGATAGTCAACTAATACCCAGTACCTACTTACTACTAGGTTAACCTTTTCCCTAGGATGAGACACACCATCAACTAACACCCAGGTACCTACTTACTACTAGGTGAACCTCTTCTCCAGGATGAGACATGAACATCAACAAACACCCAGGTACCTACTTACTACTAGGGGAACCTCTTCACCAAGATGAGACACAACCATCAACTAACACCCAGATACCTACTTACTACTAGGTGAACCTCTTCCCCAGGATGAGACATGACCGTCAACTAACTCCCAGGTACCTAAATAACCTGCACATAAAAGAGAGAAGCTTACGACGGACCAAAACATCGTCGTAAGCTTCTCTCTTTTATGTGCGGGTTATTTGTGTAACGTTCCAGTCACGGTATTGTGCCTTTTTTGTTATCCCAGGTACCTACTTACTACTAGGTGAACCTCTTCCCAAGATGAGACACGACTGTTAACTAATGCCCAGGTACCTACTTATTACTAGGTGAGCCTCTTCCCCAGGATGAGACATGACTGTCAACACCCAGGTACCTACTTATTACTAGGTGAACCTCTTCCCCAAGATGAGATACGACCTCAACTAACACCCAGGTACCTACTTACTACTAGGTGAACCTCTCCCCCGGGATGAGACACGACCATCAACTAACGCCCAGGTAATTACTTACTCCCAAGTGAACCTCTTCTCCAGGATAAGACATGACCATCAACTAACACCCAGGTACCTACTTAGTACTAGGTGTACCTCTTTCCCAGGATGAGACATGACCATCAACTAACACCCAGGTACCTACTTACTCCCAGGTGAACCTCTTCTCCAGGATGATACATGACTCAACTAACACCCAGGTACCTACTTACTCCCAGTTGAACCTCGTCTCCAGGATGAGACATGACCATCAACTTACACCCAGGTATCTACTTACTCTCAGGTGAACCTCTTCTCCAGGATGAGACATGACTGTCAACTAACACCCAGGTACCTACATACTACTAGGTGAACCTCTTCCCCAGGATGAGACACGACCGTCAACTAACACCCAGGTACCTACTTACTCCCAGGTGACCCACTTCTCCAGGATGAGACATGACCATCAACTAACACACAGGTACCTACTTACTCCCGAACCTCTTCTCAAGGATGAGACACGACCGTCAACTAACACCCAGGTACCTACTTACTACTAGGTGAACAAAGGCAACATTTGAGGAAACATGCCCAACTTTTCCACTTGTGCCGGAATCGAACCCAGGTACTCTAGGTGAACCTAAGGAGCTCTCCCCCTAACACCTGCATATAAACATGCGAGGAAGGTGTATAACCTGAAAATATATGCCACAACATCCAAAAACTGTAAGTGTGAGAAATAATTACACCTTGACACTATATATGCAACTCAAATAAAATGCCTCGAGGATATACTTAAAACCTGACAGCATATACATCAATAACTGTTAAGTATCATCTGAAATTAAAAAAATTGTCATGGCTGTATATTCCCCAATACCCACAGGCGAAAAAGTTAAAAAAATGAGTTACTAAGAATTTAAGTGTAGCTGCGTCGTACAAGAAGCTTCAGAAACTAATCCTTGTGACATCTCCTGGTGTCTGTGGGGCTTATCCATCAGGAACCTCATTGATAGGGTCATCCCTCGGACCAGTGGGTTAATGCTCTTACCTAAAAAGACGGAAAAGAGACTTAAATCCCGATAAAAGCTTTGTAAATGTGCTGAGTGAGTGGTGCGATCAGCTGGCCTCCTCTCACTGTTGTTATCGTCTGTTGTGACTTCCAACCCAGAACCAAGTATGGAAAACTTTCCCCGTGAAATCATATTTTCCGGCTTTGTACGCCAATTCTACCATAATTTCCACTTATAACGATAACATACTTATCCCCTCAAAAAACCCCGAATTCACCAACTGCCCGGAATTAGGAATTATAATGGAAATTATCCGGTTTTGGAAAGCATGCATATTTTGCCTGTGTCCCGGCAGGAGCAGTCGATAGGCTGCTCCCACCAGTTCATTCACTCCAGCTAATTTTCCTTTTTCTCACGACATATTTTCCTATCGTTTTCTCTTGGTTTTTGACCCTCGGACTATATTGTTTTCTCGCTTCTACGTCTGTGTATGATGGTTTATCTGCGGGGCATCGTTCATGTGCAAGAGGATAATTAATAATGTGATGGTCTTAGATTAGTTGTGTGCGTGTATAGGCTAGCGTATGTGTTCATGTGTACGTGTGCATACAGGAGTGTGCGTGTATAAGCAGCGTATGTGTCCATTTGTATGAGGGCATACATGTGTGTGTATAGGCAAGTGTATGTATTCATGGGAACGTGTGCATACATGAGTTTGCTTGTATGGACTAGCGTATGTAGACGTATGCGTTCGTGTGTGCGTGTATAGGTTAGCGTATGCGTTCCTGGGTACGTGTACTCATCTATTTGTATTCGCCTATTTATTGTTGCAGGGGTCGATTCATAGCTCCCGACGCCGCCTCTGCGCTAGCCGCTACTAGGTCCACTTTCTCCCTGCTCCATGAGCTTTATCGAACCTCTTAAAGCTATGTATAGATCCTGCTTCCACTACATCACACTCCAGATTGTTCCACATCATGACAACTCTATGACTGAAGAAATACTTCTTGACAATCCTGTGACTCATTTAAGTTTTCAGCTTCCACTTGTGACCCCTGGTTGTTGTGTCCCATCTCTGAAACATTCCGTCCCTATCCAGCTTGTCAATTCCTCTTAGTACTTTATATGTCGTTATCATGTCCCTCCTATTCCTCCTGTCCTCCATTATCGTTAGGTCGATTTCCCTTAACTTTTCCTTGCAAGACATACCCCTTAGTTCCAGGACTAGTCTTGTTGTAAACCTTTGCACTGTCTCTAATTTCTTGACGTGTTTGACCAGGTGTGGATTCCATAATGGTGCTGCATACTCCAGTATGGGCCTGACTTACACGGTGTACAATGTCTTGATGCACTTAGATGTCGAAGCGCTATTTTTAGGTTTACCAGGCGCCTATATGTTGCAGCAGTTATTTAGTTGGTGTGGGTCTCAGATATTGTGGAAAATTGCATTTATCTGAATGTAACTAATTATGTACATAACAGTAAATGATAACAAAGATAATTATTATTTATCAATGTTACATAGACAAGTAGGAATTTGGGACACCTAGGTCGCAAAAAATGTCCCCCTTCGATACCTACCACTGTCATAACCACAAGTTGCTCTGGACCTATTAATTAAATGAAATATACATACACCAGGAATACTGGTAAATATATAAATTTGTGGACTGTATATTAAAAGTAATAAATGGTTATATATATACACAATTACATAACAGAAGGAAAATATATCTTAATATCACTCACCAATTTGACTGGAGATTAATGTGTATCATACTCAGGAAACCTCACTCTAACTAAATCTATGAAAATAATGCTGGCCAGAATTACACACAAATCTAGAGAGCTTATCTGAGGTTCCTGGAGAGGTCTTGTCCAGTCGCCTGATATCTCAAGTTATGCAGGAATGCATATCCACCAATTTCGCCTCCTATTTGAGAGGTGTCAACACAATTTTAACCTCTAGAGCACGAAAAATTCTTCCCATTACACCAACGTTTGTACAAAATTCAAAACCAAGATGGCGAGTCTCGTCTGCGCAGACGCAGGCTTTCCGTTTTCTATGACATAAATATTATTAAATACAGTATGGCCATCTATTTACATATAAATACTGAATTTCTGGAAAATATATACAGTATTTTCCACAGATATGCTGGGTATGATGCTCATCCCAATATATTTTTCTTTAAGTGAGTTTTGCAGCCTTTGACCTCTCAGGTTGTACTCCGTCTGCGGTCTTCTTTGTCCATCCCCAAACTTCAAGACTTTACACTTCGTTAAACTTCAGGAGCCATTTGTCAAACCAGGCTTACAGCCTGTCCAGATAATTATAAACTTACCTGACCCTCATTCACTTGTATTCTCCTCATTAGCTTCACATCGTCTGCGAACAGGGACACCTCCGACTCTATCCCGTCATGTCATTCACTTATGCTAGAAACAGCACCGGACCTAGGACTGATCCTTGTGGAACACAACTTGACACATGCACCCACTCTAACACCACGTCTTTGTTTACATTCAGTGCGTCTTTGTTACATTCAGTGCGTCTTTGTTTACATTCAGTGCGTCTTTGTTTACATTCAGTGCGTCTTTGTTTACATTCGATGTTTTTTTGTTTACATTCAGTGCGTCTTTGTTTACATTCGATGTTTTTTGTTTACATTCAGTGCGTCTTTGCATTCAATGCGTCTTTGTTTACATTCAATGCGTCTTTGTTCACATTCACTGCGTATTTGTTTACATCAAAGGCGTCTTTGTTTACATTCGATGCGCATTTGCTTGCACTCAATGCATATTTTTTTTACATACGATGGGTCTCTGTGCTTCTGTGATTGGCCAGGTGCATTACACTACTCAGTACTAACCCCTGATTGGCTCTTACTACTTTAACAACTCAGTCATCGACTCACTTATTGACTGACTCACTCCTTAGTTGACTCAATGACTTCCCCCTCACTGACTGACACTGACTAACGTTACCAGACTTGACTCACTAGATACAATCTCTCTCTCTCTCTCTCTCTCTCTCTCTCTCTCTCTCTCTCTCTCTCTCTCTCTCTCTCTCTCTCTCTCTCTCTCTCTCTCTCTCTCCTCTCTCTCTCTCTCTCTCTCTCTCTCTCTCTCCACTGGATAAAAAGCCACACAGCTTGGCTTAGGCTACCCTCCTCTTCCGAGGATCAAGAGCCCATTGCCAGCGTATCAAGGCCCGCTCCAATAGAAATAAGTCATTTTGTCTGACTTTTATAGGTGATATCCTAGGTAATATACACTGTATGATAACTGTACTTATGTGTACCTGTGCCTAAATAAACATACTGGTCACCTAGTATTAAGAAGGTACCTGGGTGTTAGTGGGCTGGTGTGGGTGGCATCCTGGGGACAAGAATGAAGGATCACAATGGAAATAAGTCACTTTGTAAGACTTTTTGGGGTTATCCTATGTAATATACACTGTATGATAACTAGTAATACGTACCTGTGCCTAAATAAACTTACCCCTCCTATAAGTGGATGTGACTTGGACTTGCCTAGCATGGGCCAGTAGGCCTGCTGTAGTGCTCCTTCTTTCTTATGTTCTTTTGTTCCTATTTCACTGAGTGTCCCTCCGTCTACTTCTTAACTAGATCTTATTCACTGCTAAACGCTGGGATTATTGATCCTACAATGCTTGGTTGGTAGACAATATGACGCCAGATGGGACCATGCTGGTCATACAGTCTGTCACATAGTAAAACTCTTGCTGCTGTCCCCACCACACAAGTAGAGGAAAGCAGAGTCTGTACAGAGCTTGAAGAGTAGGTATGACAGGGCCCGTGAAGTCAATGGAAATAAGTCACTATCTGACTTTTTTTGGGTGAGGTTATCCTAGGTAACCTACGTATGATAATTAATGTAACTATTTACGTGTACCTGAATAAACTTACCGTTCCTGAGAGGTGGGGCCAGGAGCTCTTAATCAACCATAGAAAATTTGGTATGTACTCACACACACCATCCTGTGTGACAAAACAGAGTAACAGGGGAACCATACTGTGATTAAAAAAATAACAGAACTATTCTGTTTGATTAACAGAACCATACTGTCTGATTAACAGAGCCATGCTGTGATTAACAGAGCCATTCTGTTTGATTAACAGAACCATATTGTCTGATTAACAGGGCCATACTGTGATTAACAGAGCCATACTGTTTGATTAACAGGGCCATACTGTCTGATTAACAGAACCATACTGTCTGATTAACAGAACTATACTGTCTGATTGACAGAACCATACTGTCTGATTAACAGAACCATACTGTGATTAACAGAACCATACTGTGATTAACAGAACCATACTGTCTGATTAACAGAACCATACTGTCTGATTAACAACCATACTGTGATTAACAGAACCATACTGTGATTAACAGAACCATACTGTCTGATTAACAGGGCCATACTGTCTGATTAACAGAGCCATACTGTTTGATTAACAGAACCATACTGTTTGATTAACAGAACCATACTGTCTGATTAACAGAACCATACTGTCTGATTAACAGAACCATACTGTCTGATTAACAACCATACTGTCTGATTAACAGAGCCATGCTGTTTGATTAACAGAACCATACAGTCTGATTAACAGAACCATGCTGTTTAAAAGAATCATACTGTTTGATTATACGCCCTCCCATACATGGAGTGTTAGCCACCCAGGATAACCTAGGGTAGGGAGTGTTAGCCACCCAGGATAACCCAGGGTAGGGAGTGTTAGCCACCCAGGGTAACCCAGGGTAGGGAGGGTTAGCCACCCAGGATAACCCAGGGTAGGGAGCGTTAGCCACCCAGGATAACCCAGGGTAGGGAGTGTTAGCCACCCAGGATAACCCAGGGTAGGGAGTGTTAGCCACCCAGGATAGAGTGGGTTAGCCACCCAGGATAACCCAGGGTAGGGAGTGTTAGCCACCCAGGATAACCCAGGGTAGGGTGGGTTAGCCACCCAGGATAACACAAGAAAGTCAGTACGTCATCAAGGACGGTCTTATTACCATTGTGGTCCTTCAGTCTTGTTCCCCAGGATGCCACCCACACCAGTCACCTAACACCCAGGTACCTACTTGCTTGTTAGGTGAACAATAAATAAGTTTATTTAGGTACAGGTACACAGAAGTACAATTATCAGTGTAAATTACCTAGGATAACCCCCCAAAAAAGTCAAGTCACATTTATATATTTCACATGAGAAATGGACTTATCAAGTCACAAAAGTTTTTTGAATGAGTGCAGTTGTTTTATGTAATAATATATTTGTAAATTACTTAGAATAATCCCCCAAAAAAGTTCCATTTTTGACTTAAAACAAAAAATTGACCGCCATAGAGACACTAATTACCGGACTTTAATTCCACAAGGGTCTAAATCCCAAAGAAATATTTATTCCTGGTTACAAAATATAGAATCTTACCGATAAGTCACCCTTTATTTCAAATTTAGGATTGTTTTATTAAAGATATGATTTGTAATATTTAAGTAACAAGTATATCTGATAAAATGACAGAGCCAAATAAAAAATATCTCAAGAAAATAAAAATTTTATTAAAAAATATTGGTTACGTGAGCCTGGTTTAGTGGGTTGCCGGCCGCTGTCAGTTGTCACTTAACTCGACCCTCATTCACGCTCCCGCTGGTAATTCTTCTTTTTTTTTGGCTATATTTCTCCATTTTTTAACCTTCAATTGGCACAGAATAACGTGGAAACTGAGTCAGGTCCGGTGGAGGCTGTGTTAAAAGGTTAACGAAAATATATGAAGAGGAAAATGGTTTAATATTGTTGGGATCTGGATTAGCTACAGGAACTTTTTTTTTAATTCTTAATAAAATATATTGAAATAATTGATCTGCAGGTATCCTGAGGAAGGAGAAATATTTTATATTGTGAGAGAGTAAGTCACTTGGGAGTTATGGTAAAGGTTGAGGTAGTAATTATGGAGACACGTCCCTAGTGTGAATTTGGCGACCATTTATCACTAATAATGTTCAATATTAGGCAGGTTTTGTCATGGATGTCGTTGTATTTTGTGTAGATATAAGAAATATCACCAAATATAATGAAATTCAAACTAATTGGACCCAGAGTAAAGTAACGTAATTTAACCTTACTCCGCCATCGCCAGATGTGTGACTGACTCGCCTTTGTTTATATTTGATTCATCTTTATTCACTACTCTTGCCATTTTATACTATGCTGGGAATTTTTAGTTCACCTGACATGCAAGGATCAAAAGATATTTCCTGATATTTCACAGGAGTTGCTGTTGAGATAGATTCCCTGGTACACATTATCTTAAAATTATGGATTTTAAACCCAATGATATAATTTTGGTTTTGTTCAGGCGCAGTGACGGTTAATCTGTTAACCATTGTGATGAAAATGGTTTTTGGGGTTGACAAATTGAACAATGGAGACACTTGGGTAACATTAATATTAAATTTTATTTGCATGACTATAATACTGATAATAATATTTAAGTTGTATACTTTGCATCTTTTCCGGACACCAACAAGTGCTATCATCTGCGTATAGTAGAAGTTTTCATTTAAGACTAAGTGGGATGCTGCGTAAGTCTTGATGAAAGGGCCATACACAAATAACCCGCACATGGAATAGAGGAGCCTACGATGAAGCTTCGGTTTGACTTGGGCTATTTACAAAGTCCAAGTCGGACCGAAATGTCGTCGTAGGCTCTTCTCTTCTATGTGCAGGTTATTTGTGTATCGTTCCAGTCACGGTATTGTGCCTTTTTTTTTTTTGTTATAAAAGGGCCATATTTTTTTTTTTTTTTTTGCTCATAAATTTGAAGGTGTAGTATAGTATTTAAATTATTATTTATGAGTAATTACATAACTAACATGAATCTGGAGGAAAGGAAAAAAATAAGTTTGGGAAGTGCTTCATTTAATTCTGCAAAACTTGTGAAAATGTTAACAAAAACTTTACTCTGAACAGCACAAACTAAAAATTTCTATGAAAAGACTCAAAATAGACTTTTTTCACAGTAAAAATAATTTTGTGTAACAAAGTTACTGGCATAACAGCCATTTTATCAGTTTGGTCAGTGTTTGCTTACATAGACATAAAAATGTATACTTTTTTTTTTTTAACATATTAGCAGTTTTCTACCAAGGCAGCATGACCCGAAAAAGAAGAACACTTTCATCATCATTCACTCAGTGACTGTCTTGCCAGAGGCATCCCTACAGGATCTGTACTTAACACTTACATAACGACAAATATATGTTGATATATGGGCTGTGGCTCATATATAAATACAGTGCTCCTCGCACAGCTGCTGGCCTAATAGCTATGTATGTATGGGGACCTTGGTGCCAGTCCAGTAACCTTGGCTTTCCTGTAAAGCTAAACTCCATAGCAGAAGTATGTACATAGATTTTTTTTTTTTTTTTTTTTTTTTCAACAAGTTGGTCGTCTCCCACCGAGGCAGGGTGACATACATAGATAATAAATGGATAAAAATATTGTACGTATGAATTGTATAGACATTTTTTTTCAGGCAATTGCAAGATGATCGGTGGGTACCAGTTCCCCTCGCTGACCACCATTTTGTGTGGTTTGTTTGCGGCTTACATCATACAGTCTGCATGGACTCTAGGCCAGCTCTTCATTACACCACACTGCCCGGACCCATCAAAATGCATACCACCACTCATTGCCAAGAACCCTAAGCTACAGGTGAATCATTATTTATGTTTGTACTAAATGGGAAATGTATTAAGTGCATTTAATGTATTAATGTACAGTATATAATATATTAAATTGGAAAATGAAACCCCATTTTAAAGTAGATGTAATGTGGCAGTATTGTATTCTTTTAAAGATCTTTTATTTCAGAGATGGATGACATTTAGGTGTGCAGGCAAAAAACCCCTTAGTATGCAGAGCATTTTGGGCAAACTTAAACTTATCTTAAGACTAATAAGGCAATAACTAATTGATTGCTTGTATATATGGTCTCTAAGTGGTTGTGTACAAATACACAAAAGGAACTTCCACAAGGACTGACTGGATTCTGTTTTCAGCAAGTACATCATATTATCAGCTGTAATAACCAAAGCAGTTCATCAAACCAACATTTTTTGCTGTATTGGACAAGATTCTTTTCAGTTGATATGAAGGCAGTACTTGACAAGTTAAATTTTATTGTTACTATTGAATAGGACAAATACAAAGACCTGCAGGAACTTGTAATCTGTCAAGATGACAGTGCATTATTATTTCAATTTTTGCAATTATAAATAGGCACGATTCTTATTTAAATCATATGAAATTGAAAAGATTTTATATTGGTATATTTTTTTTACGAAATTTATGTAGGCCTTATCTTTCACAATTTAGGATAGAGTATTTCAAGTATTGTACAGTATTGTCAGATTTCTACTTAATAATGTTAGTACATGTAGAGAGAATGGAACAAAACAGAATGACTTTGAGAGTATAAATCCGTAGTGGAGGGAAGGCGGGGTAGGGGTTGGTCTAGGAAGGGTTTGAGAGAGGGGTAAAGGAAGTTTCGTGTGCAAGGGGCTTGGACTTCAAGCAAACATGCGTGAGCGTATTTGATAAGAGTGAATGGAGACAAATGGTTTTTAATACTTGATGTGCTGTTGGAGTGTGAGCAGAGTAACATTTATGAAGGGATTCAGGGAAACTGGCAGGCCGGACTTGAGTCCTGGATATGGGAAGTACAGTGTCTACACTCTGAAGGAGGGGTGTTAATGTTGCAGTTTTTATAACTGTAGTGTAAAGCACCCCTCTGGCAAGACAGTGATGGAGTGAATGATGATGAAAGTTTTTCTTTTTCTGGCCACCCTTCTTTGGTGGGAATCGGCCGATGTGTTAATAAAAATAACGTCAGTCCTGTATAAGATACCATCCAATATATGCTAAATTTGTGTTTGTAAAATAAAAATAAATTCAGTTAGCCATTTCATGTGTGTATGACTCACAGCCTGCCTTGGTGGGAATCGGCCAGTGTGTTAATAATATTTTTTTTTTTTTTATTATCACACTGGCCGATTCCCACCAAGGCAGGGTGGCCCGAAAAAGAAAAACTTTCACCATCATTCACTCCATCACTGTCTTGCCAGAAGGGTGCTTTACACTACAGTTTTTAAACTGCAACATTAACACCCCTCCTTCAGAGTGCAGGCACTGTACTTCCCATCTCCAGGACTCAAGTCCAGCCTGCCGGTTTCCCTGAACCCCTTCATAAATGTTACTTTGCTCACACTCCAACAGCACGTCGAATATTAAAAACCATTTGTCTCCATTCACTCCTATCAAACACGCTCACACATGCCTGCTGGAAGTCCAAGCCCCTCGCACACAAAACCTCCTTTACCCCCTCCCTCCAACCTTTCCTAGGCCGACCCCTACCCCGCCTTCCTTCCACTACAGACTGATACACTCTTGAAGTCACTCTGTTTCGCTCCATTCTCTCTACATGTCCGAACCACCTCAACAACCCTTCCTCAGCCCTCTGGACAACAGTTTTGGTAATCCCGCACCTCCTCCTAACTTCCAAACTACGAATTCTCTGCATTATATTCACACCACACATTGCCCTCAGACATGACATCTCCACTTCCTCCAGCCTTCTCCTCGCTGCAACATTCATCACCCACGCTTCACACCCATTTAAGAGCGTTGGTAAAACTATACTCTCATACATTCCCCTCTTTGCCTCCAAGGACAAAGTTCTTTGTCTCCACAGACTCCTAAGTGCACCACTCACCCTTTTCCCCTCATCAATTCTATGATTCACCTCATCTTTCATAGACCCATCCGCTGACACGTCCACTCTGAATACATTCACCTCCTCCATACTCTCTCCCTCCAATCTGATATCCAATCTTTCATCACCTAATCTTTTTGTTATCCTCATAACCTTACTCTTTCCTGTATTCACTTTTAATTTTCTTCTTTTGCACACCCTACCAAATTCATCCACCAATCTCTGCAACTTCTCTTCAGAATCTCCCAAGAGCACAGTGTCATCAGCAAAGAGCAACTGTGACAACTCCCACTTTATGTGTGATTCTTTATCTTTTAACTCCACGCCTCTTGCCAAGACCCTCGCATTTACTTCTCTTACAACCCCATCTATAAATATATTAAACAATCACGGTGACATCACACATCCTTGACTAAGGCCTACTTTTACTGGGAAATAATTTCCCTCTTTCCTACATACTCTTAACTTGAGCCTCACTATCCTCGTAAAAACTCTTCACTGCTTTCAGTAACCTACCTCCTAGGTGTTAATAATAATAATAATAATAATAAAATGACTCACAGCAGAACTTAACCTAACACTTCACATTTTGTACTTACTTTTCAACAGTTACTGGCATTTACCTCGCATAAATCAATGCCTGAGTATGCTAGCGACCTTCACTTAATCCATCATATCCATCGGTTTGATTACACAACAGAGCAAGAGACCACAGTGATAGTACCCATTTCCAGACGGGTTCGCAACAATGGCACAATGTATCTTCACATTTTCCTGACATCACGTGGAATTGATCCAGATGTGAGATTTGTAGTTTTGATATGAATTTTTATGCTCGTATAGTTCTTGAGATTAATTGTTTATTACAGTGTTCTTGGGTTACATTAATTTTTATTTTGACTTAGATTATATTTGATTTAAATTATCACAAAGTCACTTATGCTACAAGGATTGTTGCTTATTTTTCTTTGAGCTTCAGTTGACTTTTCTCACATATTTTTGTTCTATAATAAAAAGTACATTTAAAAATATTGTATAGCTGGCTTATTTTTTCATTCTTCTTGCCCAGAATTATAAGTTTAATGATATTTGATACATTATTCAAATATGCATTATCAGAATATTTCCATTATTAATATTTCTTATAATGTACTATGTATTGGTTTGTGATATACAGGGTATTTATAAATTCTTCAAATTCTAGGACTGGGGAAGTGTGGTGAACGATGAACATTCTGTGTATGGATTAGCTCATTTAACACAATATCACATTCCTGATGCCTCAGCATTCAACTTACTGGGCAAGGATAAAGATAAGGTTGGTAAATGTTTTGCTAGGCAACATATTTCATAATTTACACACTGTCATAATAGATAAAAGTAATGACATCTTTCTTAATTTTTCTAGTAAAAATAATGTATAAAATCATAAAATTTGTCCTTTTCTGTAAGTGCATTTTGTAGATTTAACTGATGAC